ATATTTTTTTAAACCACACTAATTAGTGAATAAAACTGTTGATTTTATTTGAGTTTTGCAATATGTATGGTTATAAAAAAAGTACAATGAAAAGTGACTATTCTGTGGTAAAAATAGAATGTTTACAAAATAACTTTAGAAAGACTGCATTAAATGACTTTGGTGATGGCCTGCGGTTCTCAACACTATGGTAGAGTGTGGTTGAGCAGATCTCTCCATGCTACAACCATAATATAAGCTGCAGTAATATAGCTATTTAATTAATAAAAAATATCAGAATCTGCTTAAAGTAGCCTAGATATCGCGTAACACATACAAAAAAAAATTAAAAGAAAACTTTCCTCCAGAAAGTAGAATACGTAGGAATAAGTGGAAAACTACTGGCTTGAATCAAGTCTTTTTATGTAGGAGATCCCTAAAAGTAAGAATTGGTGGAGCGAAGTGAGATCACATAGAAATAAATAAGTGCCACAGGGTTCCATTTTAGGTCCTGTATTGTACATTGACCTTCCCCCTTGCCTACAGTGTGATGTCAGCATCTTTGCAGATGATATTAAAAGATTTTAAGTGGACATTACGACATTGAGGAGTATGACAAATTGTTTATTCGTAATGAAAACACGTCAAGGACCACATCTTAGGTTATGTACCATCTTTTCAAACAACAACTTACACAAGTACTATATTTCTAATCATGTAGACACAGAGTGAAATATCCTGCCAGATAACGTAGTCTCCGTTAAAAATGTAAACAAATTCAATAATATATTAGATAATCAGTTTTTGAACTGCAAAAGGAGTAACTAGTTGGGGACAAACAGGATACAAGCATTATCAGTTGTTTCAACTGCTTGCTTGATAATATAGTTCAAAAAAAAAAGTCCGGGTGTATTTTCGTGCTACAAGCATAATAGTTGTAGGTGGTTCTCCATCCATCCATCCATCCATCTATTCACCACAGCCTATAAAAGTCCACTGCTGAACATAGGCCTCCATTGTAGATTATATCTTAGGGGTTTTTTGCCCTAGTGGATATGCTTGGCAGGTGGGTTGGCTATTGCAGTTTTTTAATATTTTGAGTGGTTCTTAGGAAAATGCTGCCGGCCCATCTGTTTCAAGTTTCCCTCAGTCGCTTCTTACGACAGTATAGCTGCAGCTACAGGTGTCTCTATGACGTAAAGTGAGTCGGGGCGTGTTTTGGTGTTGAAGCAGTGTATCTGGCGGCGGTTGTAGCACGTGGTGTGTGTGCGCAGACGTACAAGGAGCACCTGGAGGGGCAGAAGCACAAGAAGAAGGAGGCGGCGGTGAAGCTGTTCGCGGCGGGCGGCGGCGCGGGCGGGCGCGCGGCGGGCTCGGCGCTGCGCTGCGAGCTGTGCGACGTGACGTGCACCGGCGCCGACGCCTTCGCGGCGCACGTGCGCGGCATCAAGCACCAGAAGGTGCTCAAGCTGCACACCATGCTCGGCAAGCCCATCCCGCCCGCCGAGCCGGCCAAGCTGCACCAGGGTACGTACCCGCACTGCTGCACCACACCACCACACCACCACACTGTACACTACAACACAACACACGCCGCGCTGCGAGCTGTGCGACGTGACGTGCACCGGCGCCGACGCCTTCGCGGCGCACGTGCGCGGCATCAAGCACCAGAAGGTGCTCAAGCTGCACACCATGCTCGGCAAGCCCATCCCGCCCGCCGAGCCGGCCAAGCTGCACCAGGGTACGTACCCGCACTGCTGCACCACACCACCACACCACCACACTGTACACTACAACACAACACACGCCGCGCTGCGAGCTGTGCGACGTGACGTGCACCGGCGCCGACGCCTTCGCGGCGCACGTGCGCGGCATCAAGCACCAGAAGGTGCTCAAGCTGCACACCATGCTCGGCAAGCCCATCCCGCCCGCCGAGCCGGCCAAGCTGCACCAGGGTACGTACCCGCACTGCTGCACCACACCACCACACCACCACACTGTACACTACAACACAACACACGCCGCGCTGCGAGCTGTGCGACGTGACGTGCACCGGCGCCGACGCCTTCGCGGCGCACGTGCGCGGCATCAAGCACCAGAAGGTGCTCAAGCTGCACACCATGCTCGGCAAGCCCATCCCGCCCGCCGAGCCGGCCAAGCTGCACCAGGGTACGTACCCGCACTGCTGCACCACACCACCACACCACCACACTGTACACTACAACACAACACACGCCGCGCTGCGAGCTGTGCGACGTGACGTGCACCGGCGCCGACGCCTTCGCGGCGCACGTGCGCGGCATCAAGCACCAGAAGGTGCTCAAGCTGCACACCATGCTCGGCAAGCCCATCCCGCCCGCCGAGCCGGCCAAGCTGCACCAGGGTACGTACCCGCACTGCTGCACCACACCACCACACCACCACACTGTACACTACAACACAACACACGCCGCGCTGCGAGCTGTGCGACGTGACGTGCACCGGCGCCGACGCCTTCGCGGCGCACGTGCGCGGCATCAAGCACCAGAAGGTGCTCAAGCTGCACACCATGCTCGGCAAGCCCATCCCGCCCGCCGAGCCGGCCAAGCTGCACCAGGGTACGTACCCGCACTGCTGCACCACACCACCACACCACCACACTGTACACTACAACACAACACACGCCGCGCTGCGAGCTGTGCGACGTGACGTGCACCGGCGCCGACGCCTTCGCGGCGCACGTGCGCGGCATCAAGCACCAGAAGGTGCTCAAGCTGCACACCATGCTCGGCAAGCCCATCCCGCCCGCCGAGCCGGCCAAGCTGCACCAGGGTACGTACCCGCACTGCTGCACCACACCACCACACCACCACACTGTACACTACAACACAACACACGCCGCGCTGCGAGCTGTGCGACGTGACGTGCACCGGCGCCGACGCCTTCGCGGCGCACGTGCGCGGCATCAAGCACCAGAAGGTGCTCAAGCTGCACACCATGCTCGGCAAGCCCATCCCGCCCGCCGAGCCGGCCAAGCTGCACCAGGGTACGTACCCGCACTGCTGCACCACACCACCACACCACCACACTGTACACTACAACACAACACACGCCGCGCTGCGAGCTGTGCGACGTGACGTGCACCGGCGCCGACGCCTTCGCGGCGCACGTGCGCGGCATCAAGCACCAGAAGGTGCTCAAGCTGCACACCATGCTCGGCAAGCCCATCCCGCCCGCCGAGCCGGCCAAGCTGCACCAGGGTACGTACCCGCACTGCTGCACCACACCACCACACCACCACACTGTACACTACAACACAACACACGCCGCGCTGCGAGCTGTGCGACGTGACGTGCACCGGCGCCGACGCCTTCGCGGCGCACGTGCGCGGCATCAAGCACCAGAAGGTGCTCAAGCTGCACACCATGCTCGGCAAGCCCATCCCGCCCGCCGAGCCGGCCAAGCTGCACCAGGGTACGTACCCGCACTGCTGCACCACACCACCACACCACCACACTGTACACTACAACACAACACACGCCGCGCTGCGAGCTGTGCGACGTGACGTGCACCGGCGCCGACGCCTTCGCGGCGCACGTGCGCGGCATCAAGCACCAGAAGGTGCTCAAGCTGCACACCATGCTCGGCAAGCCCATCCCGCCCGCCGAGCCGGCCAAGCTGCACCAGGGTACGTACCCGCACTGCTGCACCACACCACCACACCACCACACTGTACACTACAACACAACACACGCCGCGCTGCGAGCTGTGCGACGTGACGTGCACCGGCGCCGACGCCTTCGCGGCGCACGTGCGCGGCATCAAGCACCAGAAGGTGCTCAAGCTGCACACCATGCTCGGCAAGCCCATCCCGCCCGCCGAGCCGGCCAAGCTGCACCAGGGTACGTACCCGCACTGCTGCACCACACCACCACACTGTACACTACAACACAACACACGCCGCGCTGCGAGCTGTGCGACGTGACGTGCACCGGCGCCGACGCCTTCGCGGCGCACGTGCGCGGCATCAAGCACCAGAAGGTGCTCAAGCTGCACACCATGCTCGGCAAGCCCATCCCGCCCGCCGAGCCGGCCAAGCTGCACCAGGGTACGTACCCGCACTGCTGCACCACACCACCACACCACCACACTGTACACTACAACACAACACACGCCGCGCTGCGAGCTGTGCGACGTGACGTGCACCGGCGCCGACGCCTTCGCGGCGCACGTGCGCGGCATCAAGCACCAGAAGGTGCTCAAGCTGCACACCATGCTCGGCAAGCCCATCCCGCCCGCCGAGCCGGCCAAGCTGCACCAGGGTACGTACCCGCACTGCTGCACCACACCACCACACCACCACACTGTACACTACAACACAACACACGCCGCGCTGCGAGCTGTGCGACGTGACGTGCACCGGCGCCGACGCCTTCGCGGCGCACGTGCGCGGCATCAAGCACCAGAAGGTGCTCAAGCTGCACACCATGCTCGGCAAGCCCATCCCGCCCGCCGAGCCGGCCAAGCTGCACCAGGGTACGTACCCGCACTGCTGCACCACACCACCACACCACCACACTGTACACTACAACACAACACACGCCGCGCTGCGAGCTGTGCGACGTGACGTGCACCGGCGCCGACGCCTTCGCGGCGCACGTGCGCGGCATCAAGCACCAGAAGGTGCTCAAGCTGCACACCATGCTCGGCAAGCCCATCCCGCCCGCCGAGCCGGCCAAGCTGCACCAGGGTACGTACCCGCACTGCTGCACCACACCACCACACCACCACACTGTACACTACAACACAACACACGCCGCGCTGCGAGCTGTGCGACGTGACGTGCACCGGCGCCGACGCCTTCGCGGCGCACGTGCGCGGCATCAAGCACCAGAAGGTGCTCAAGCTGCACACCATGCTCGGCAAGCCCATCCCGCCCGCCGAGCCGGCCAAGCTGCACCAGGGTACGTACCCGCACTGCTGCACCACACCACCACACCACCACACTGTACACTACAACACAACACACGCCGCGCTGCGAGCTGTGCGACGTGACGTGCACCGGCGCCGACGCCTTCGCGGCGCACGTGCGCGGCATCAAGCACCAGAAGGTGCTCAAGCTGCACACCATGCTCGGCAAGCCCATCCCGCCCGCCGAGCCGGCCAAGCTGCACCAGGGTACGTACCCGCACTGCTGCACCACACCACCACACCACCACACTGTACACTACAACACAACACACGCCGCGCTGCGAGCTGTGCGACGTGACGTGCACCGGCGCGGAGATATGCTATTGCTCCACAATATCATAATCTAAAGGTAAAATTATACACCATAAAAGAAACCAGCATCACAAACAAAAATGTATATTATACCTACATTCACCGTTATTTTTGTTTTTTTTTTTATCCTATCTGAATTATAAATCACACAGTAATCATTTTTAAGCTTAAAGTATGCTAAATGTTGTTGTTGTAGTTTACACTTCTGTCATGTTTTCAGATTGATTTAACAGGAAATATGTGGAAAAGAATGTAGTAAAAATATTTGAATGTCATGGGTACATACTATTTAAAATGATAATTTCCTGTGAAATGTACTGATTAGATCAATCATGTATTTGTTTTTTTTTATTTATTATTGACTTATTTTTTCTTTATAAAAATTCAAATATGTCCTCTGAACACGAAACTTACGTCGCTAAGAGGACATGTTTGTCAGGCTCGCACCCGTGCTGACTTCTCGTGACGCCACAATATCATATCTGTATCTGCGACAAGTAGGCTCGTAGATTGTTCAAAACAAGTCAAATTTTCTCTTAAATTTCAAAATTATTAACACTCAGTACAGATATGGAGTGTGACATTGGTGGACCTTTTTTTTTATTAACCTCTGTAGTATTTGTTTAATTTTAAAAAAAGGATCCTCTGTGTTTGTCTTCGTAAAGTGAGAGAAAATTTGACTTTTCCGATTAGCGAAAAAGACGGTGGCCGGTACGCCCAAGATCGCATTCGTGGCGTCTGGAGAGCTCAGCACGGTCGGGAGCGGCAATGAAGAGGGCAAACCGTGTGAAGCAGACAAGGAGAAGGAGGGCGAGGACAAGGAGGAGGACGGCGACGCCGAGCCCGAGGTGCAGCCGGTGGGGCAGGACTACATCGAGGAGATCCGCGGCGACGACGGCAAGGCGCTCAGCTTCAACTGCAAGCTGTGTGACTGCAAGTTCAACGACCCCAACGCCAAGGAGATGCACATGAAGGGCCGCCGCCACCGCCTGCAGTACAAGAAGAAGGTTCGTATTTGCTTCTACTGTTGCCCATAGGCGTCGTCTTATTTTTTAGCACGCTTTTATTAGCTTCGTATGTATCTTCTATCTGTCTATGTAACGAAGTCTTTTAATGTAATTTTCACCAACTTGTAGAAGAACTGAGGATGAATGTAGATGTCTATGGGCCAAAAAATCCACTTACCATCAGGTCGACTGTGTGCTTGTCACCCTTTTTAACTAATTAACAATATTAAAAGATAACAGTAACATTTTTTACATTTTTATCAACTTAATATTTCATTATTTAATATTGGTCAGTACAAACTGCCATCCAATGATTACTTAGTAAAAGGTTTGAGGTGCTCGTCGAGCCTGGCGGCTACAAATTGCCGCCAAGAGTTCCGAGTATCGCATGATAACAACCTGCAATGAGGATGAGCAATTTTAAAATAACTACCATGCATGCATATAACCTGCAACCGACTACTCTTGTGGAAGGATGCAACTAATTACTTTTGTGGAAGGAAATAGAGTAGGACAGAACAGTTTGTGACTATAGTATCTATTATTACAGTACCATGTCTGATATCCCTATAGCCACTGTGTGTGTGATTACAAATCTTCTAAACTTTGGAGCAATTGAGGCATAATTATTTGTAATAATTTTAGCTCTATAATAGATTTTGTATTTAAAATAAAATAGTAATTAAATAAATTAAACTTGAAAGTTTGAATTTAAAATCTTAACATGAAGCAAATAAATTGTTTTTCAGGTTCAACCAGATTTAGAAGTTAAAGTCAAGCCATCAACACACCAACGTAAGTTGGCCGAGGCCAAGGCACAACGAATGCTGGTCCGTGACGAGTTATGGGCGAGGCGACGTATGCATGATGTAAGTAATAATTTATCAATGTATTTTTTTAATTACACTTACTTTCTAAGCTTTACAGTAATTACCAATAATGGTAAAATTATATTTGAAAAATAAGAATGCTGTTATAATATGACTTTTTATTAATATAAGATTTCTGTGAGTTGATGATGAATATAATGTAGCTGAGTCGACTATGATAATGGGACTAAACACTTGATCTAAGTCCAATAACTTGATACACTAAGGCTGAGAGATCTATAGACCTTAACTATAAACTTTGACTTTGCTTAGGCTTTGTTTTCGACCTAAGACAATGTCGGTATTTATAGAGCTAACTTCGGAGTCATGCTGAGTGCGCGCTTAGCAAAGCCTAAGTCAACGAAATTGATGACACGTAAAACTCAGGATATTATCCAAAACCACCGTATTAATTTTAAATCGTTGTTTTTATGTTACTCTAATTATTTATAATAATAAATAGGTCATAAATAGGTTCAGGCCGTCTTCTAGTTTTAAATAGTATTTAATCGAATTTTTTTTAATCTTTTTTTTTTCTGATTTCCACTTCTCATTTATACCTGTTTTCATTCGCCCATTTTCTATTTCAATAATAATAACTTAATTATGAAATACAATTTGGACTTATTTGATTTTTAAATATAATTTTTTTTTATTTATACAGTAAAATCAAAAACATTATTCATGGAAGCATTCATTAATTTTTTTGACTGTCTGGGCCTTAGCATAAGCTTAGCTTAATCTTAGCCTGATACAGTATAAATTCAGAATCAAAGATTATGCTAAGCATATACTCAGCTAATTTTTTCGTAAGTAAAGTTTGAGCAAAGTCTAAGTACCGGTCTATAGATCTCAGCCTAAATCTCAGAAATAAAAATGCGATAAAATCTGTTAAAAAATTATTATCATTCAGTTGATAAAAAATAGAACTGAATTGTATATGTATATATCTAATTAAAATATTTATCAGGGCATGGAAGAGGAAGAACGCGCGTATTGGGAGGGAGGCGCCGAGGCGTGGTGGCCGAGAGGCCCGTTGCCGCCGCATCTACACCACCATCACCACGTGAGTATATATCACTTAGTACACCGCTGAATTATTCATATAATTTATTACATAATTTTTTAGGAGTTAAAATTGGGAGTGGTCTGTTTCATCTATGCATCTTTACATATAAATAAAATTAAGTGTCTCTATAGTATCTAAATAAATGTCTTTTTTTAACTGAGGTGTTTACATAATGATTTCTTATATTTACGCGAACACACTACACATTTAAATAAAAACTAACTACGGATTTTATCACGTATATTAACTTATTTTATATTCCCGACGTTTCGAGCACTTTACAGCAAGTGAAGTCTGCAGTCTGTGAACACGTACAGGATCGCCAACGTCACTACATTAGATTTGATAGACCACAAATCCTCGCTAAAGAACACCGATTTCTTCCAAGGATGATTCGCGAGACTATTGAAATCAATAAAACATTCTAATTTCAATAGAGAAGATGGCTGGGTGCTACCATCTGCTTGGGATCCCATAATTAATAAAATTAAATCCCAACCCAAGCATACAACTGCAAGACTTCAAGATATCATAAGTTTATACTGCGTAGATTGGAACAAAAATTAATAATTTTTAATCTGGAGGTAGCTGTGGTTAACTATGACATTTGGACGTCATACACTTCAGTCCCCCCGTGACCATGGGTGCTGTAAAGTGCTCGAAACGTCTGAGGTGTTTATTTTTCCATTCCATTAAAAAAAATCGACGAATGCCTTCTCCCTGAAATAATTGACGGTCAGATACTACGAAATTTATTTGTAAGAGAAATGATGGAAATGACGGCAGAATAAATATACATATTTATTATTTTATAATTTTTGTATTATTTAAAATACCACAAACACCTCTTTTGCCACATAAATATTAAGAATTTACTTGTTGATAAGAGCAGTTATTATATTATAAACTCTCCAGTGGCAAATTAAATAGTAGAATTATCACAGCAAGCAGTAGAATGCGAACATTAGTTACTCATTAATTGGTTACGGTTTGTATTGCTCATTACAAATAATAATAAACGTAAACTCACAGTTGTTACTTCATTGTCTTTTGAAAAAACACAAAATGAGCATCTAATTTCACAGTTTTATGCAGACTGTAAATCAGTATAGGATAAACGTCGATGTCGACTGACATTTTTATGATATCGATAAAAACTTCGACAGTTGTCACTTCCCTAATTGTGTACGTAAGGAGACCAGAGGTGACGGATGGTACACTACCCTCCGTCACCTCTGGTCTTCCGCGTAGAGTACGATAGGGATAACTAACTGCAGCTCAGAACGATTTTGCCTACAAAAAATATGATCGATCGACTTTTCGTATTTCCCTGTTTTCTCTTCGAAAACTAAGCCGATCAAATTATTTTTGGTATCAGCATTTAAAGGAAGAATAGATCTATTCTCCTATTACTTGTTTTTATCTTAAAACCATTTCACATTTGTTTGGTAGTTGTCTGATTGTGGAGGTAAAAAGGTTTTTAGAAAGTAATATTTATTTGTTGTTTGGTTGTTGTATGGCGGTGATAAGAGGGTAGGTCAGTAGCAGTTGGGCGAGGGCAGTGATAGCGGTGAGGTGCGGGGAGGTGTGCAGTAGTTGCGATGTTGACGTGAGGCGTGTGGCGTGTGCACAGGGCATGCCGTACGGCGCGCCGGCGCGGCGCAGCGAGACGTCGGACGACCGGCACGTGCTGGCGCGCCACGCCGACATCTACCCGGCCGAGCAGGAGCTGGCCGACATCCAGCGCGCCGTCTCGCACACCGAGCGCGCGCTCAAGTCGCTCTCCGACGCGCTGGCCGACCTGGCGCGCCCCAAGGTACACAAGCACACCACACCACGCACACCACACCAGCGAGACGTCGGACGACCGGCACGTGCTGGCGCGCCACGCCGACATCTACCCGGCCGAGCAGGAGCTGGCCGACATCCAGCGCGCCGTCTCGCACACCGAGCGCGCGCTCAAGTCGCTCTCCGACGCGCTGGCCGACCTGGCGCGCCCCAAGGTACACAAGCACACCACACCACGCACACCACACCAGCGAGACGTCGGACGACCGGCACGTGCTGGCGCGCCACGCCGACATCTACCCGGCCGAGCAGGAGCTGGCCGACATCCAGCGCGCCGTCTCGCACACCGAGCGCGCGCTCAAGTCGCTCTCCGACGCGCTGGCCGACCTGGCGCGCCCCAAGGTACACAAGCACACCACACCACGCACACCACACCAGCGAGACGTCGGACGACCGGCACGTGCTCACGTCTCATAAATTAATTATTTCATATTTAAGTAAGTGAACGCAAAAAGTTGTCATTAACAATATGAGCTCTTCCAGATCGATGGTACAAATGGGCGTGCCTCAAGGCTCAATTCTCGGCCCCTTTCTGTTTCTTGTATACATTAATGACTTACCTTACATAGTAGGGGATAACCATCATATAGTATTATTTGCAGATGACACTTCTTTAATTTTCAAATTAAGTCTACAATTACTGAAATATGACGAAGTAAGTAATGCTATATCTAAATTAGTAAATTGGTTCAATGTTAATAATTTGCATTTAAATGGCACTAAAACGAAATGTATGAAATTCATGACTCCAAATGTCAAACAATTAAATACTAATGTAATTTTAAATGGGGAGAAACTGAGTCTTGTAGATACCACCATTTTTCTTGGCATCACACTAGACGCGAAGCTTCAATGGAGCCCCCATATATCAAAACTAGCAAGCAGACTTAGTTCTGCAGCATATGCTGTAAAAAGATTAGAAGTCTAACCAGTGTTGAAACAGCTAGACTAGTTTACTTCAGCTATTTCCATAGCATAATGTCGTATGGTATTTTGCTATGGGGACACACAGCTGACACTGAAATTATATTTGTTTTACAGAAGAGGGCCATAAGAGCAATTTATGATTTAAAGCCTAAAGAGTCGCTGCGACAAAAATTTAAGAAAATTAATATATTAACTTTGGCCTCTCAATACATTTATGAAAATGTAATGTACGTACACAAAAATAAAAGTAGTTTTACAAAAATAAGTGATATTCATTCTGTAAATACTAGGAACAGTCACAAGCTAGTAGTACCAGTTACTTGACTCCATCGAGTCAGTAATTCATTCTTGGGGCGATGTATACGCTTTTACAACAAAATTCCAGAAAATATACAAAGTTTGACCTGTTCAAAGTTCAAAAACTTTATTAAACTAAGTTTGTATAAAAAGGGTTATTATTATATTAAGGAATTTATGGATGATAATAACCCCTGGAAATGAGGTGATCGCTACCAAGCTATTTCTAATTTGTTGTGTTGTTAATTTGTGTAACATCATGATTGTAAGCCGTTATTTAAAAAAAAAGTCCCGCTGGGTTTCTTGCTGGTTCTTCCCAGGACGGAGGTTTTTTCCGAACCAGTGGTAATCAAACAAAAGAGTGACTTTCAATAAGTATTATTTATATTCTATATTGAATAAAAAAGTTTCTGTTTCTGTTGATGGATGCAGGTGGTTCAGGGCTGTGCTTTGTGGCATTCCTTGGGGAGGCCTATGTTCAGCATTGGACTTTTGAAGGGCTGTAATGATGATAATGATGATGATAACTTTTCACAGTGCAGGCCTTCTTGGAACTTATTCACCCTAGTGAGTTGAAGGAACAAACCCCCGTACATTTCATAGTGTGTTTATTTTGTTTAACTAATATTTTATCTTTTACAGAATCAGCCTACTAAAGGTGGAGTTAAACCTGATGACAAAAAAGATGACAAACCAGAAGGCAAAGAGGATGGTCGAGACAATCAGTTGTGAGTATATGAATTTATCTTATTTAAATCATACAGTAAAATAAGTTGTATATGCTGTATAAGTATTACTACTGGGCAGAAGACTTAACTTTTTGTTTTTGAGAGAGTTATAGAACAGTTAGTTTGCTGTGTTGTTTTAATGTGACATATTGGCAAACTAAAGGAAAATATATCATACTTTATTAAATGTTTAACGGAATTATAAATGAAATTAATAATACATTGGTTACATATCAAATCTATTTATTTCCAACTGTGTTTTTTTTATATTTCTGTTTTTCCCAAAAACAGATTTATTTGCTTATTGTGACACAGACTAGTACTAGCTTGAAGGTGATTGTGTGTATCTTAATGTTTGGAGATTTTATCTTATCTGTTCTTGAAGGCGTTCAATTAACGATAACGCGATTGTAATAAATTCTTCATGGGATTCCGCTTGACAGGTTGATGTCATCTCGGATGTTTGTTGCTACTTAGTAAGTATACATTTTGTAGATTAGGGTCATAGTAATATTCTTGTATGTAGTATAGTGTCTGTGGCTCTCTAGTGGTGGTGATATTGAATGTGTGGGTTGTTGCAGGTTCTCGTTCGTGGGCGAGGGCGAGGCGGGCGCGGGGGCGGGCGGCGGCGCAGGCGCGGGGGCGGGGGCGGGGGCGGGCGCGGGCGCAGGGGCGGGGGCGGGCGCGGGCGGCGGCGAGGCGGGCGTGCGCGCGCTGAAGGGCGTGATGCGCGTGGGGCTGCTGGCCAAGGGGCTGCTGCTGCGCGGCGACCGCGACGTGCGGCTGGTGGTGCTGTGCCACGACCGCCCCACCGTCACGCTGCTCAAGCGCGTCGCCGCCGACCTGCCGCACCACCTCGCGCGCGTCAAGGTACGCCGACCGCACTAGCGCTAGCACTAGCACTAGCACTAGCACTAGCACTAGCACTGGCAGAATACACATTCATTAAGCGACAGTAACCTAATGGCAAGGTACGAATCGCAAACTCAAAAGGTCTTGTGTTTAATCCATCGTTCGACTACTGTCGTGAACTAAACAAAGTGCAGTAAAGGAGCGGAATAATGTTTCGTGTTTCTTCAATTCGTTAAATTAGAACACAAATGCCCTTTTTATTGTCTTTGGCAACTTCACTATTTACCATCACTTAAGGTAGTAATCAAGCACTGGCTTATTATAATTAAAAAAATTAAAATAAATAAACGCAAAAAAAAACGTTAAATTTTGATTGCAGCCCACTTCAAAACGGAAGAAGTTCTCAATTCAACAATATTTTGCTTTTATTTACAAACATGTATACTACGGGATATCTTCGCCAAATATGAACCAATTTTAATAATAATTTCTTATATTTACACGAAGACTACACATTAAATGAAACTAATTTTTACGGATTTTATCGCGTTTAATTTAACTTTTTAATTCCCGACGTTTCGGGTGCTTTACATCAATTTTAATAGTTCCTTTTTAATTGAATAGGATAATACTTCAGGGTTGATCCTGTATAACTTAGTTATTTAATGTTGGTTTTACTTTTATTAAAAATTTTATTTTATTCATTGTATTCGCGTAAATTACTAGGACCTAGGATGTTTACTTTATAGAATAGAATACAATCATTTTTATTGAACGTACATAGATTATAAAAATACTTAATGTAATATACATGCAGTGTTCTGTCTTGGGAAGAACCAGTAAAGAAAGGACACAGGTTGTACAAGCTACTTAGAAAACTTTAAAAAGATTTTTGACCTTTTTTAAAAAGAAATAAACTTTAAAAAGACCACCCACTAGGAATGATCCAAGGGTTATTATCAACCATGTATCCATTTATATTATAATCCTTTTTATACATACAGTTTTCATTTAATAAAATATTTACACTTGGTAATAGAGAGACCTTGTATGTTGTGGTCGATGGATGCAGGTGGCTCAGGACCGTGCTTTGTGGCATTCCTTGGGGGAGGTCTATTTTCAGCAGTGGACTTATGAAAGGCTGTAATGATAATGATGATGATGCTGTATGTTGTAGTAACATAAACATTGCCTTATGAATAGGATTTTTTTAAACATTATTACAATATAATATTTTGTACACACTAATTGCAGGGCCCGGGTGACGAACCCAAATACAAAGTGGAGCTGCAGGCCGCCGAGGGCGCTGTGCAAGTATCGGACGGCAACGTGAACGTGCTGGTCAGCCTCACGTCGGCTGTCATGCGAGAGCCTGCAGGTACACACCAGATACTGCTGGACCAATCCACCTGTATTGCAGTCAGCACGTGTCTTGAGACCTGGACTCATGACGTGAGACTTGCACACTAGCTCCCGCTGTCAACCAATAATGGATCTAATTACACAGTGGAAAGGTTAGCTTCACCTTACAACGACGAGCGGGCCCCCTGCACCGACTGTAGGTCGAGTCTCAAGATTCATGCAAACTGTTATACCAAATATTTGGCCAGCAGAAATTGGCTGTTATATTTTTCAGTGTTCAATATACTGATCAGAGAACAAACTATCTAAATTGATCAGAATTTTTCAACCTAATATATATTACTTAATTTATTGTGTATCACTATTTTAATGAAACTATGAGATAATTTGTTCAATTTACCGCTCGGTCGTAAACCGGGCAATGTGTTGAATGCTTATTTTTAGGTGTGAGTAGGATAAGCAGCAAGAAGAAAAGGATTTTTGATCATCCCTTGAGATATATCACGTGCGTTATGCCTCCGCAGTGGTATATTGATGTCTACTGAAACGGAGCAAACATTTTTTTTTCAATTTATTAAATGTTTGTATTTGTAGTTTATTTTTAATTTTTATTATTAAAGCTGTGATTAGGTTAGTGTAAAATTATTTTTGTGATTGCAAAACATTTATTTGATTTACTTAAATATAAAAGTGAAATATTTTATATAATTAGCTTGTTAGTATGGCGGTGATTATAAAGCCGTTGCTAGTTAGGACGGTAGGGTGCCCCGCCATGTTTGCCCCGTTTTCGTCGATGTGTTGATGGTCAAACACCCTTTGTGTTGTTGTCGCTAGAGGGTGGCGACATAAAGCGAGACGACAAGGATGTGCTACCGCGGCAGAAGTGTTTGGACGCGTTGGCCGCCCTTCGGCACGCCAAGTGGTTCCAGGTACATTCGCCCACATTACCAAACGTGTGCGCACTCCACTTAAACTATCGCTTTCATCTCTAGTTTTTTTATTGATTTTTTGTATCACAAAATTGTTCATTCTTAAAAGATCTTATCAAGCAAAGTCGCAGCGAATATCCCTTCATTGTTTTTTTTTTAATTTAATGTTAATAATATATTGCTGTGACATTGATGATTTATCTTTTGCCTAAAATTGTACCTTATGGGAATTGAAAGAATAAACAAATTTCAATCCAGTCTGATTATTGCAATAATTTAATAAAACATTAGAGGGAGTGCGCACGTTTAATTTAGTCACATGTTTTATTTTATATAATAATGTAGATTTTGTTTTTGAAATAATGTGATTTTTACAATAATGTTTGTCGCTCCCATGAACATGTGGCTACAAAGTGCTTGTCTGAAAAGCTGCGTTTCCATCCGCACTTTGATAAAGCCTATGTATGGGAGTTGATCAGAAAGCATTGGGAAACGCAGTTTAAGCTTGGTCAAATCCAATGGAGATAATAACACATTCATTGCTCTACTTTGTTTTCATTTGATAATATTTTACGGAATCTCTCAACCTGAATTATGAAAGTTTTTAGGAAGAAAGAATTTAATATTTCTGATGTACAGTGGGCATGCAATCTGGCGTTCTATTTTGAAATGAATCCGAATTAAAAAATTGGAAATTTTTCTCTTGGATTTAATTACTATTTAATTCAACAAAATCACCGGACATTGAAAATTCTCTATTACTAATTTAGTTTTACTGCAACATTTATTTGATTCCTACATCAATCAACCGCTTAATCTGAATCTGAGTATTTATCAATACGGTCAGTCCATTGTATAGTCTGCAAGGTATTGAGAATCAGGGCATCTACAACTTTTTCTGCCACCAACGTGGTGCTACTTAAGAATTATGTGAAATATTTGACAGATTTCATAGTGGGGAAGTTGTAAGGAAAATGTAAGGCTTAACGTTTTTTTCTGTAATATTAGTTATATTGATTAGATTAAAAATGAATAAACCAAACTACGCATAATCCTAAAAGAGGAAAAATTAAAAAAAAAGAATTAGAAATTAGGTATTGTGTATTGTTTTTGTATATTAATATAATACTCTAGAAATTGATAAATTATTATTAAAAAAGCTAGCGATCCGTCCCGGCTTCATAAGGGTAATTAAAGCTGTAAGCACATTTGTCCGCACCGTACGCGTCGTACTTATTATTTGTTTTACCTACAACTTTTCTAGTTTTTTCCAACCACTGCACTGGTGTGAAACGTTACAGTGCAATTGAACGCTCGAAGTAACCAAGGAAAGAAATATAGTAATAGCCTTGCTTATTGGCAGAGGAAGAACAAAATAAAATTAGAATAAAAAAGAATATTCTGGTTTCATAATAATATTAATTTAAAAATGCAATTGTATGGAGAATATTATACTTTATTTAAAGACTTATTAGATGATGATGAACGATTTGTTAGATATTTGCATTTGTAAAAGAAATTTCAAGAATTGCTACATATACTAAAACCATATCTTTCTATGGAAAACTCAAGATTTAGAAGGCCAATTGAACCAGAGAAGACTTGTTGTATGTTTGAGGTAATTATTTTTATTGATATTAAGTAATCGGGTATAATTGGGTTTTTGAATTAAAATTAATTATCATTTTTTTAATTTAGTATTTAAATAATTTATCACAGCATCCATATTGATTATCGATCCAATTTTTTTTTTCAAATTATGTATAATTATTTACGAATTAATTAAAAGTTATAAAAATATAAAAATTATCACGTAAGTCAAAACCAACTGTTTTAGTGTAAAATCCACTAAGTTGGCAACATTAGACAACATTGAGTATCCGCGTTATATGACGTCATCAGCATGCGTCTTTCAATATTCGGATACCTACCGCATTTTATCAAATTCGGCGCGTACAGTGTGGGTGTCATTTGCGAGGTTTCGTATGATTTTATACAATGAATTCTAAAACTGCGCGTACGGCGCGGTCAAATGTGCGTTGAGCTTAATGGATCTCGACAACAGCGACACCTATCGGGTTCAAATATGAATATAAACCATCATAGGGAGTAGGGGGTCCCTACTATTCAAACACACACATTTTTTTTATTAAAATCGGTCGAACCATTTTTAAGTGCTAGTGAGACTAACGGATAGCAATTAATTTTTTTATATAGAGATAATTTCTCAATTACATGACATAAAAAAATTGACCTCTGTCCCAACTAGCTACATCTGGTGAGCGGGAAAATTATTGGCCCCTATTCTTTATTAATTTAGTTTTGAAGAGATTACAAAAAATAAATATTTTAATAATTAAATAATAAAAAATCCACGTAGAGGTGTGCCGGATTGCGAGTCGCCCACTGTAGAGAGTAGGTCGTGTGCGGGGTGCGGGGTGCGCGGGGTGGGTGTAGGGTTGAGGGTTCCGTGGGTGCGCGAGTGTGCGTGTGACGAGCGCGCGTGGCGTGTGCGTGTGTGCAGGCGCGCGCGGCCAGCCTGCAGTCGTGCGTCATCATCATCCGCATCCTGCGCGACCTCTGCCGCCGCATACCCAACTGGACGCCGCTCAATCCATACGTGAGTACAAACACGCACACACACTATCTTATTAAATCTACTCTGCTACATTTCTTGAAATATTTTCTGCTCATTACTAAGCACATTGGTAATAACTTCATACTGTTAAAACTGCACTCGATCATTAGTCTTGGATGAATTTTTCATTGACTAATGATGTATAATAACATGTGAAAAAAGATATAAAATTATTGAAATGCATTACTTTGGAAAATTGCCACAAAAAATAAAACAAATTGAAATTAAATCCAAATTATATCGTATAGTATTTTTGTTAGATAATCTCACGAATGGGTCGGCTCGACTGGGTAAGGACCACACTCTCACAGAATACCAGCGTAAAATAGCAGTTAAATGCTGCTGCTATGTTTCGTATGGTAAGTGTAGAGAACCAGAGACCCTTTTTACTGAAATAGAAACAGAAACTTTTTAATTCAATATAGATTATAAATAATTATGAATTATGAAAGTGGGACTTTTTTGTAAATACCAAGGAAAATTAATAAAAATTACAAATAATTAAAAAATCAATAATAAATTATATCTATATTACAGTTGTTTCTACAAAATTTTAAATTTACCTCTTGTCTTAAGTAAAGTTATTGCTATAAATTTAAACATATATTCTGATAACGCTTTTAACAGGAACCACAGGGTTTTATTACATGTACTTTTTTTATAATAGAATAAGTGACAAATAAGCACAGTCCACCTAATGGTAAGTGAATGCTGTGGCCCATAGACATACACATTTATACTCAATTAAAAATCAAAATGCAAATACGTAGTCACCCCTGAAGACTAAGATGGAATGCCTTATTTCTAGTAAAAAGGGTTTTTGGTACCCTACATTCACCATAAGAAACACATCAGCATTAAGTTGCTATTTTTTATAGGATAAGTGTAATAAATAATAAGTGGTCGCTGTGGCCCAGAGGCATCCACATCTATCCTCGATTACGAATCAAAACGCAATGTGCTGTCACCCGTGAGGACCAAGATGGAAAGCCTCGTTTCCAGTAAAAAAAGTCCAGTCTACACTCACCATACGAAACAAAGGAGCGTTAAGCTGCTGTTTTACACTGGTATTCTGTGAGAGCGTGGTCCTGCCCTAGTCCAGCCGACCCATTCATGCTACAGCCATAAATACAGGGTTATTTTTCAAAGAGTAGCCAAATTTTATATTGAAGTTCAAATAAATAAATTATTATATATTGATATTTTTTTTTTTGAAAATACGAGTAAATAAGGCTTCTACTTTTATTTGAAATTATTCCAAATTGAATGTGATTTTTGGGCAACAACAACAAGTTTTCGTTTCTCAAGTATTTGCTTACTGTTTACTTTCTTGTGACACGTTTACTATTTATGCTTAAGATAACTACATGAGGTGAATTATGATTCCAACTTTCATTTTACACTTTTAACGGACTTAGGATCGTTATCTATAGGAATAAATAAAATTGAAGTGTCTGTTTGTAATGTCAAAGTAACAACTTTTTACTAAACGTATATGAAAGTATGTGCACAGTAATTATAAAACACAATTTTTAACATTTTTGTCTGTCTGTCTGTCTGGGGAAGGAAGGGGGGGCTAAATTCCGCTCAAAAACATAACCTGCTCGGGGCAAACTGAGCAACAATACCAAGGCGACCCCTGCCACGCTATCCGTGAATTTCTGCAACATCAGGGGACTTCACTCTAACCTAAACGCCGTCCACTACCATCTCGAGACGGCAAAGCCGGCCTTGCTCTTTCTGACCGAGACGCAGGTTTCCTCTCCGGCTAATATTTCGTATCTTTCCTACCCGGGGTACAAATTGGAGCACTCCTTTGTGCCTCGGGCTGGAGTTTGCGTGTATGTCAGAGAGGACATGTGTTCTAGACGCCTCGGCAGTCTTGAAGGTTCGGACCTGTCCATCCTTTGGCTACGCGTAGACAGCGACGACCATCCGCGCGTCTACGGGTGCCTCTATAGGTCCCATAGCGGTAATGCCGAAACAGACCGACTCATCGAACACGTCCAAATGGCTACAGATTCCTTGCTACAACAGGTCCCATCCGCAGAGATCGTGATCCTTGGCGATTTTAACGCCCACCACTCCGAATGGCTCGGTTCACGTTTAACCGATCATGCGGGGAGATCTGTCTATGACTTTGCCTTGGCATAGGGTCTGACATAACTGGTTACTTCACCTACGCGGATTCCAGAAGTGGAGGATCATACACCTTCCCTGTTAGATCTTCTGCTGACTCTCATCCGGACGGAGGATATCAGGTTTCCGTCGATGCCCCTCTCGGATCTTCTGACCATTGTCTGGTCCGGAGTATGGTGCCACTCACACTCCCCTCGCGGTTGTGTTCTGCAGGTTGCCGCCGTGTTTGGCATTACAGGTCGGCGGATTGGGACGGAATGCGGTCTTTCTTTGCATCCTACCCATGGGGGCGGGTTTGCTTCTCACCGGATGATCCCAGCGCTGTTGCTGACTTTGTCACTGATGTCGTGCTACGGGGAATAAAACTATATATTCCATCATCTGTGGTACCCATCGGAGGCAGATCTCAGCCTTGGTTTGGTCGCTCCTGTAAGACTGCATTACGCAGTAAGCAGGAGTGTTATCAAGCCTGGGCTGCGGTTTCGGCGACTCGGGATGTAAACACCAGCACACTTAAAAAGAAGTATAACTTCGCCTCCAGGTCCTTCAAAAGAGTTATTGCTAAGGCAAAGTCAGAGCACATAGGCAGAATTGGCGAGAAACTAGTTCGCCTTCCTTCGGGAACCCGTGCATTCTGGTCTCTCACCAAGGCTGTCCAAGGGTAAGCCATCACTACCATCTCTGCACAGGGAGGACGACTCACTGGCCGCAAAAGACAAAGCCGACCTTTAGGCTCCCTTTTTGCGTCCAACTCGACTCTTGATGACGGGGGGAAAACACCGCCGACCATCCCGCGATGTGATTGCTCCATGCTGTTCTCACAGCGCTCGGTTCGCAAATTACTCCTCTCCCTGGACATCCAGAAGTCGAGTGGGCCTGACGGAATCCCACCAATTGTGCTGAGGTCGTGTGCTCCGGAGTTGGCACCGGTCCTAACGCGTCTTTTCCGGTACTCCTACTCCCAAGGCGTAGTCTCGAATTCATGGAAGACAGCTTTTGTCCACCCGATCTCTAAAAAAGGCGACCACTCAGACCCGTCCAACTATAGGCCTACCGCGATCACCTCTTTGTTCTCCAAAATAATCGAATCCATTATTAACTGCCAGCTCATGCGGTACCTTGAGGATCACCAGCTGTTTAGTGACCGCCAATACGGTTTTCGTCGGGGTCGATCAGCTGGTGATCTTCTGGTCTACCTGACCCATAGATGTGCGGAAGCAGTAGAGTCCAAGGGGGAGGCGTTGGCCGTTAGTTTGGACATTGCGAAGGTCTTCGATCGGGTTTGGCACAAAGCGCTTCTTTCGAAGCTCCGTTCCTATGGGCTTCCCGAGAAATTGTGCAATTGGATCACCAGCTTCCTTGCAGATCGGAGCATCAAGGTCATTGTAGACGGTGCATGCTCCGACTACAAGCCTATTAACACTGGTGTTCCACAAGGCTGTGTGCTATCACCAACGCGGTTTCTTCTGCATATCAATGATATGTTGCTAGCTGGTAACATTCATTGCTATGCGGATGACAGCACTGGTGATGCTCTATACAACGGCCGAGCCAATATTTCTCGGGAAAACGTCGCCGAGTACCGGGACAAACTTGTGTCTGAAGTCGAGTCTTTGCTGAACAAAGTCTCGGATTGGGGGCGACTAAATCTAGTCCAGTTTAATCCTCAGAAGACACAAGTTTGCGCGTTTACCGCTAAAAAGAATCCCTTTGTCGTATCTCCTCAGTTTCAAAGCACTCCCCTTCTTGCCTCAGCCAGTATCGGAATCCTCGGAGTCGATATATCGAGTGACGTGCAGTTTCGTGGTCATTTGGAAGAGAAGGCCAAATTGGCCTCTAAAAAGCTTGGCGTGCTCAGCAGAGCGGGACAGTATTTCATGCCGGCACACCGCCTGCAACTTTACAAGGCGCAGGTTCGGCCTCACATGGAATACTGTTCCCATCTCTGGGCAGGGGCTCCCCAGTGCCAGCTCCTTCCACTTGACCGCATCCAGCGCAGAGCGGCTCGAATCGTCGACGACCGAGTCCTTTCGGATCAGCTCGATTCATTAGCACTGCGAAGAGATGTTGCATCCCTTTGCATTTTCTTTCGCATCTACTATGGGGAGTGCTCGGAGGAATTGTTCGGATTAATCCCAGCCGCCAAATTTCACGAACGCACATCGCGGCAGAACTCCCGATACCATCCACACCATCTGGATGATTGGCGGTCCACCACTGTGCGATTTAGAACATGTTTTCTTCCTCGCACGACTTCCTTGTGGAATCGATTACCATCAGCGATTTTTCCAGACCGATACGACTTAGGGACTTTCAAGAAAAGAGCGTAGTCCTTTTTAAAAGGCCGGCAACACATCTGCGATTCCCTCCCTGGTGTTGCAGTTGTTCATGGGCGGCGGTAGTCACTTACCATCAGGTGAGCCGCATGGTCGTTTGCCCCCCTCTCTTATAAAAAAAAATCAGTGACGTAACCGACTACTGTCCTTATTATAGCGTATTTAAAAAATGGAATTATTATTTACAACTAAATTATGCAAGTAATCCCAATATCTAATATTGGTACTTCAAAATGGAATCCGTTTCTGGATGTCAACAACGAACACCACATATTAAATAACCGTTTATTCACAATGTAGATTCAAAGTAGAGGATCGGAGCGAATGAGCGGCCTGACGGCGTCCGGGGCTTTCGAAGATTTGAATTGATTGTCAAATAGGCCGCCATGCTTCTTTATGCATAGGCGAGCACGTTTTTTTTTACAACATTTTAACACTTATTACCTGTTCTTGAGCGAGTTGAATTTCCGTGAACGTAGCAATAATTTTACTGTAGCGGTTTTCCATAACTTTGGAACTTCTTTGACTTTTTATACACAGATTCCGGCGAGATTGCAGATTCACTATTTAAGTTATTAGTCATTGCACTTGAAATAATTACGACACGTACGCTAATTTCTCACCGCGCTTCTGTTTGCGCCAAACGCTAATTTCAAGAATCGACGCCAGGGGGCGCTCAGCGCGGTGATTTCCTACGGGTTGAATTTCGCGCGAGATCCGGTTGGTGGCAAGCAAGGCGCGTCGGAAGTCTATGCAGTGCGGTCTCTAGAACGGCTTGGTCGTCCCGTATAACCTTTAATTAGTGTCGGTTTTGTTAGCAAATTTATGCAACGACGATGAGTTTGTATACGTGGTACGTAGTATTTATTTACCTAGCCTTATATCTATCGTGTAGGTTTAGTCTCCATAGGCATTTTAAGCCCCACCCTTAGTTGTCCGTCGAATATACAGCTGTATGGGCCCCTGTATGGTCGAGCTTTGTCGGGGCAGCTAGGGGCGTGTACAACTTCCTTTAGTGTTTTTGTATGCACCACGTAAAGTTTCATTGCTTATAATTTAATATCGTACTATTTCACAGTTGCATAATATCGGCAACTATATTTCATAAGTCATTGGTATTTTTATTGGTACCGAAGCTTATGTAATGAGGTCACGGTCCGCCGGCTGGGCGAGCAGACATCAGTACTTACGGTGTAACGGTAGAAGGGCGCGGGAAGACGAGCTACAATGTAATTTACTGAGCGGTAAGGGTTTACGAATGTGTGCGTGCGAGGTAAAATCAGTTAAAATAATGCGTATTGAATTTAAAAGATGAAAATGACAATGTTTGAGATTTTTTGAATAATTTTCTTTATCATTTGCCTATATTACTTATTCTGAACGTTCTCTGCAAATTTGGCTGGTTATTGCAAAATAATCCTGTATATTTGCAGCGTGGCTCTAGCATGTTTGACTGGTAGAGCGTTGAACTTTTATGTATGATTTATTCTTTAAAAAAAAACGTTTAATCGAGACTAGGATTTTATCCTTTATTGTGTATACATACATTGCACAAGGAGACTCAGATCTCAGACACGGAATAATAAGAGTTGTGTGTGGTCGGTTGTGCAGGCGATGGAGCTGCTGGTGTCGGGCGTGATGCAGTCTGCGGGCGCGGCGCTGTCGCCGGGCGAGGCGCTGCGCCGCGTCATGGAGGCGCTGGCGGGCGGCCTGCTGCTGGAGCACGGGCCCGGCCTGCGCGACCCCTGCGAGAAAGAGCTCGTCGTACGTACCGCCACCAGTAGCACCAGTAGCACCAGCCACTCGGTTGTACTGCACCACTGCGCGACCCATTGGACACCGATACCACACAGATCGCGGGGGTGAAATACCGCCAACTTCTTCACACCGGACTATACAACATTTAACGTAATTTACGCACACCCACAGACACGCCAATTAGTATATTATGTTATAATCATAATACATACACTCACTTTTTAGTTATGCATTTGATTATTTATTGAATTAGTTATACTAATTCCGGAAAAATGTTTTGGTCACAGTACAAATCCATGAACGCACGACGCGCGATTGTTTACGTTAAGAAATACCTATGAACATTAACCGATATCCGAATGAACTCCGAGCATTCAGTTGTTTATTTAAGTCTAGTAAACATTTGATTGTTATCTTTCCATCACACTTTTCAAGCTTTGGACAGTCGACTCTGAATAATTTTGATTATTGATTATGATACAGTATTCGTTAGGCAATATTCAAAATTATTTCAAAATTACAATAATTTAAAAAATCAATTACTTAACTTACTAATAGACTACTCATGCAACGTTGTATTTTTAAATCACTTTCAAAATGACCACCACCTTATTCAATACATTTTAATGGCAGTTTTCTTAATTGATATTTTAATTTAGAAAGCACTTGTGTCATTTTTCACTATTTCAAAAGCGTTCACTATCCTATTTTATATCCTCGGCACTTGTCTTACTAAAATAAAGTAATCAGCTGATTTGGGAGGTCACTGGACAGCCGTGACCTAGTTAGATTTCATCGTAGCCGCGCTTGTGCGAAGCGTCAGCGCCGGTATCATGCTATCACGCTTGAAATAAGGTTCATTTTCTTTATTTTGTATTGAGTAACGGAATTTGTATTAATACAAATAAAACTGCACATTCAAAAGTCTTATTGCCTTGAGTTACGGTCCGTTTCAGTTGGTTTTGACTGTACAGGTTTACTGTGACTATAATTTACGTAGTTTTAATAATTTTTGGGATAAAAATTACCTTTATTAAAAATAATAGAAATCGATTCAGTAAACGATTCTGAACAAACTACTTTCAGGATGTGCGTTAATTATGTTACGTGTTGTATATACTAGTGAGAGCTTTGAATAGACATGGGACGAGTACTCGGTTTGGATTCGGTACTCGGCGGATTCGGCCTTTTTTAGGGTTCGGCCGAGCACCGAGTATTAACTGCCGAGTACCGAGTACTCGGCCTTAATTATATTCCAGAGAAATATAAAGACTAAAAGCCAGTTTTAATAATTATTATTATTATATTAGACACATTAAAACATCAGGAACATGAGAAGGTGAAACCCACCTGATGGTAAGTGAATGCTTTGATCCAGAGACAACTACATTTCACCTCATGATCAGCAGTCTCGCTTACTACCTCCTGGGCCTATGAAGCAATTACAATCAGATGTATCATAGTCATATGCAGGTTGCGATGTTTTTCCTTTACGGCCAAATATGTTGTAAATCAGCACTTTAAATTGCAATAATTAAAAATTTCATTGGTGTCAGTGGGGATAAAAAAAAGAGGTAGCGCTTTGGTAACAGTAACCCGTGCTGTTACCATAATGCTATTTCTAATATTTTAGTTTATTTATATGATAGCTTTATTACATAAAAATTATTCAAACAAGCAATAGAAGCAGCCTTCAAAATAAGAAATATTTTATTTACTACACACCTATAGAAAACATTCATGCTGAGTAAATTCATCAAGCATAAAGGCTGACGATGATACGAAACTTGCAATTACTAGGAAATAAGAACCATTTATATAAACAAAGTAACTCTATGTAGGAGGTAGGTACCTCTTGATTTCACATTAACCATTATCATTGGGTGAAAGTTACAGCCTCCATGCCCCACTGCTGTGCACAAGCTTGTCTTCTTTTTCATAGAGTAATAGAAAAATTTTAACTAAGCCTCTGATTTCTTCACATGTTTTCATTCACTGCCAAGCACATAGTAAAGCAAAGAGCAAGTAGTAGGTGCCGGCGAGGATGGACTCTTTTTCTCGAGTGATATTTACGGCGAGAGATTTAGCCCTTAAGTTACGATTTATTTATGGGGGGAGCTTATTGCTCATTATAGTACGTAAAATATATAAAAACAATAATATTTCTTATTTCAGGATGCGCTGGGTAACATGCCACCACAAAAGCGTGAGGATTTGACAGCGTCTGCTCAGCAGTTCCTAAGACAAATTGCATTTAGACAAATACACAAGGTGAGTGTTTTATAATTCTCTATTATGTGTTGCGTAAAAGTTAAATTCTCTTGACAGAGTACCTTAATATAGTATAAACATTCTGTTACTCCAATATAAAAGTTGAATTGTAGTAATGCCATGAAAATCTTGTAATTTCTGCTTTTAATATTTTAATACTAATGACAAGGTAAATAAAAGTAAATAGAAGGGATTGTACACTATTCCTTTATTTTCTAGCGTAGGTACTTATTCTGAATATATATTTAACTTTCAATTTACAAGCTAAATTTTATTTTTATTTGTTTTGTAATTTGCTAAGACAGTAATTTTTAAGTTGAATCTGTTTAGAGAGACCCCTTTAGGTCTACTTTGATTTATTCTCACAAACTATAAATGCTTACTTTGCGAACTACGCTTTTAACTAATACATGGACGTATAAATAAGGCGGACTGAATCTCGCTATACAACTCACCGAGGCACCCATAATAAGTCAGCTGGCTTGTACGTACAAGGGTTCACGCACACATTCACACTAATAATAAGTCTAGCGCCCGCCATTACGCAACAAACGTCGTCCGTGAGAAGTAGTTGTCGTAAGTAAAATCAAAAATCAATATGCCGTCTTGCGTCGTTAAATTTTGTAAAAATTATAGTGCTTTTATCTAAAACCTTAAAGGAATCACCTTTCATAGGTGTGTCAGTAATTATAATCACTTATTTGTGAATTTTATGTCTTAAATTAAAATGCTATTTTTGGAACACAAAACATGAGTCACGTGATCAGTGTTGTTAATTATTTATAGGGAAAATTACCCGAAATTTGGGAATTTGCTATTTTTACCCACCACGTTGGCACGGATACGGTATATATGTTTGCACAACAACCTCTTAAGGTTGTTTTATGTGCAATTTTTTATCACAATTTTCCTGAAAAATTTCCTGATCGAATATAATGCGGTTATATACATTTTTTGGCCATAGTTCGTTATGTTGTGCTGTAATCGTGATTTTTATTTTTTACTATGTTACTATTTCCTGTAAATTGGACTGATAATAATACGGTTAAGAAGGTTCTTAAATATTTTACCATGTTTAACTTAGTATATAAATCCTATATCAAATCAAAAATACATATCAAAATTAGAAATGAATTATTCCAGCAAAAGAAAAGTAAACTGAGATGAGAGGATAACATTTGTTATTACTCGGTATCATATATCTTTAATAAGAGCTAAGTGCAAAAGAGCTTTCCTTGTCACTTTAATAAATATAGAAAGCTTAAAATATTTATATGAAAAATATATTCATAATGAAAAAAAAAAATAATGTACCCGCCAGACAACCTACAAATTAAGTCAGGATCATTTAGAAATATTTTTTTCTTGTATTCGAATGCAAGGTGGCTTTAATGACAACCCTAATGTCAGACAGTTCAAAAGTCGCTACAGAAAACTGCTGGCACATCTGGATTTTAGGTGCTTAACTACAGGAAATTGTTGTGTTCCTTTGGAACAAGTAGCTGTGCTTAATTGCACTTCGGCTACTCAAATAATCAATTTCACCATACCAATCATACCGTCACGAAAAGGATGATGATAGATAGTATTTGTGATTCATTATCAGTTTTAAATGAAATTACTGAAGAATATAATGGGCTAGCTAAGCGACTAAGGGTAGAATCTTTAAAATGCACCGCGCTTTTGTATACTGTAGAAAGGCATTTCTTTCATAAATAAATAAATTTGAAAAATAATAAATAAATTTAGGAGGTTTACGTTTTCCATCTTAAGATTTATTTAATATTTGTTGTACTTGCGAAATGTTTGTACGAAAGATTATTAAGGAAAACATTACAATGTACAATGAAAAGCAACAAAAGTATATACTTACAAAAATATTAGAAAAGTTTATTGCCAATGACAGGGTTTTTGTAAGCTTGGAATTTGAGCATACATTCACAGGGATAGAGCACAAGATAAGTCTTAAATATATAGCAGAAAAATATATGGCGATTCGATTCCACCATATTTCTAAATTAGAGGGGATTTCAAGAACCTTCGAAAGTAAGAGTTCTTTAAAAAAAATATTTAACAAAAAGGTTTTAACATTGTTGTTTGTTATGAAAATGAGTAAATTATGGTAATTATTTCTGACTTATTGTCATAAGTAATGACTATAATTTACACTTGCAGAAAATTTTAAGAAATAAATATATTCGAAAATTTAATGTATGTATTTGTATTTAGTGATGTACATTCTGTAAATACTAGAAAAAGGCACAAGTTAGATATACCAGTTAATCGACTCAAAAGAGTCAGTAAATTCTTCATGTATGCTTTCACAACCAAGTCCCAGAAAATATGCTGGCCTTATCTATCAAAGTTTAAAATTTTTACCAAGTAAAAATTGTTTAGTAAAGATTATTAGGGTATACTACTAAAGAGTACATGATTGATAATAACCCCTGAAAATGAGGTGTCTACTATGCTGTTTCTAAATGTTTTCATACTAATTCTAAAATAATATATTGTAAATTAGTTTTATATTAATTTTTTGGTTACCTATAATATGTTTATTTGTTATATATTTTCTTCCAAAATAATATTATGCAATTTTTGTATAATACAATGTTTGTAATAAAATTAATTTAAATCGAAATTGATTGAAATAGAATAATTCGATTTCAATCAAAATCTTAAATTCATAGATTGTTTTTAATCGTCAAATGTGTTATTTATATTAGTTACGTAATAAAAAATTGGTATTTCCTCAAAGTTATGTTATATTTTGACAGATTGTTTATAAAAAAAAATGGGGAAATTTTGTTTCACATGACAACCCTATATAACACGCAAACATACTTGCACCGCCGCCATTACAGTGCGTCATTCCTTTCTTAACAAAATTCTGTCCGCCTTATTTATACGTCCATGAACTAATACTAGTTTCTACGGAGGAATTGAGCAGATTAAAATTATTCATTTTTGGTCGATCTATTCATTTGATACGAAAGGTAGCCTAGCCGTGGTTAGAAAGAAAGACATTGGAACGTCGAACATCTCGGTCCCCAACCGTGACCATAGGTGGTTCAATGTACAAGAAACGTGGGGAACATAAAACAAGTTAATACACGCCCTAAAACCCTTAAAAACTATTTTTATAAAGTAAGATTCCGCATAGAATGAAACTACAAAGGTGGTTTACCACGTGGACTGCAGGTGCTGGACATGGAGCCGCTGCCGAAGCTGAAGCACGCGGGCGGCGGCTGGAAGTTCCCGCGCAAGCGCAGGCGCTCCAACACCGACCCCGAGCCCGACCAGCCCAACGGTAACGGTACACTACACTGCCTGTTTTAATTTCACTTTACCAAATAGTTTAATATTGCTTGCTTCCAAATATCCGCGGCTCCGTGGTATTGCACCACTTAGAAATGAGTTGCAGCACTATAGGCCTCGGGATCGAATCCCGCATGGAATAAGTATTTGTATGGCCTACAAGTAATTGTTCCGTGTCTGGATGATTGTCCTTGTAAGATTTATGTAAGTAAACAACCTCGATAGTTCTAGTACAAAGAAAACGTTTTTTTTCTAAATAAAGAAGTACGAAATTAATTAAAGATAAATTTATGTATGTGAACTGTCCCCAAGATACAGGAGAAAATCCTAGTATAGATGTGACGTTTACATTTAAAATAAAAGTCCACTGCGGAACATAGGCCTCTCCCATAAATTGCATTCACAGGATTTTGAAATAGTTGGCATGTTTGGTAGGCGGCTCCGCAGCTGCAGTTTTTTTTTTTAATTTTAAGTTATTATTAGAAAGATGCTGTTACCATCTCCTGATTCAGTTTCCCTTGTTAATTGCTCACTTATTTAAAAATATATAAACATTTTTAGTTTTCATTGAAGATATCTGGTTTATATATATAAAAAATATTTCACCATTGTGAAATATTGCTTTGCTTTGTATAAAACAAAGCAGCAATATTTTAGAAAATGTTTGAATTGAGAATGTTCTCCTTTTTTAAACTCGAAAAACAACTATATTAATTTGATTAGTGTAGTATCATATACCTAATTATTACACTGTATTTTGGAAATGATGAGACTAGATGACGAATCTTAGACTGTAACGACAAAAACGAAGGGGGTAGAAAGTGTTGAGTTTTTCGACGCTTAATTCTGTTTCGTTTGTGACGGTACGGTCCTTGACGATATGGCACTCTGATCCATGTGTTATTATTAAATATTGGACGAAAAGCTGGTGATCCATTTTTAATGTATGACAACGACTCAACCGTCCGCCCCGCGCGAGTGATTCTCGCCTGACCTGTCCGCGAATTAAATGTCACTATTTTTTACGACCGCACGAGACAGTCTTAACAAAAACGATTACTACTGAAAAACTACTATAGCTACATTCAAATAAAAAATATTCTCAAAAGACTCAAAGAATTCGAAATTTTATTTAGTGAAAACAAAATTAGTCAAATTAAAAATAAAGCCTGAAAATAAAGCTTAAAAATGGGAATATAAAAAAATCGTATTTATTTTTTATTTCGTTGTTTACAAGAAAAGTGTAATACTTACTGGAGACAATTATTTTATATTATAATAGTACATGATATTCCCTTTAAAATGACACCAATATCAATAACATCTTATATACTCAATATACATATTATGTATATAATGTTTACCCAATATAAATTTGAATAAATAAGTAAATAAAAGAAAAAAATAGGTTTTAATAATTTCTAGACACATCTCAACAGATATTTCATTTATAAATTGCTATCAACATGTTAATAGTGAATAATTTTTTTTTTATATTTTGCATTCATTTAACACAAAAAACTGATTAGAATACATTTTAAACAACATATAATCAATAAACGATGATCGCGTATAGTGATTAAAATTTAGAGCTAAATTATTATATGTAAACGTTTTGGAATTATCGTATTGATACATATTTACTAAAGAAAATATATTCACAATTAGTTTGATGTACAATAACATTAGAAATAACGTATAAAAACAGAAAAGTTATCACATTATTGATCGACTTTCTCACACGTTAATATTCCACAAACAAAAATGGCGAAATTTAATTTTAACTTCTTTTTTCTAAATATTTTGTTACTATTATACAGATAAAATTCACTTTCACAGACAACAAATTTCATATAGCACCATCTATAATTTTTTATTGTATTAATAACAGCTATCTTTTGCCGCTGTACGCGATTAAACCGAAAGATGTCGTTTTGTGCCTAGACATGTGAGGCAATAATGATTTTTGGGGACTGTAGTCACCGTGGACGGTTGAGTGTTTATAATATTAAAAAAAAACGTAAAATTTTTTGGTTTTTGTCCTATATTTCTATAGAAAACAGAAATGAGAATATAATAAATAAACACTAATCAATACTCGGGATTAATTTCTGAAAATGTTTGCAGGTGAAGGCAAAGTGGTGAAGACTGACGAGAAAACGGACGTCACCGATGCGAGTGCGGCAAACGTCAAGAAGTAATCTCAATCTTTACCACGCTGTGTGGTATCAGTGAGGCGTAGGCCAACTTGCAATAATCTTCCATTAAAAATTAATAACCATAATGTATGCTCGTTAAGGTTCAACATAAATCCGCGTTATTTTTATACATAGTTTTGTCATATAAACTTTTTACCTGTCACTTGTCTATTGGTTAGGTATTGTAAACACAAAAAGGAATTCTACAGATTTTAGATATCGTTCGCCACCTTATTGTATTTAAGTATTAAGTTTTCTGAAAATTAATAAAGTAAAAAATATTGAGAAAAAATAATTTCTGTAATTTGTATATTATAAGCTTGGTTGTTGCAAGTTGGTATTTTGAAGCAGAAATGACTGAGGAATTTTAAATATTATGACAACTATCTCTACGTAAATGACTGAAGAGAATTTCTTGGTTGTTTTTGTCTTAGTTAAACATGTGATTTTTTGTTTAGGAAAACATGGAAAACTATGGAAATATAACAATAGTTTAAAAAAATGACTCGATTGTTTTTTGCTCCATGTCGTTTTGGAGTGGATAATAACATCTAGGCGTAAACTTTTCTGATATATTTATTGTATTTTAATATATGGAATACATATTTTTTGTCACAATAAAATATTATAACATTATTTTTGTGGCATCAATCTGTCCAAAAAACTATGCAAGAGTTAGTCCAAGATGTAGTATTTAGTGTTTAGGCTAGATTCTATATTGTAATTAGTCTATATTTAATAATATTTTATGTGAGATTGACAGGGATAGTCAGACTGTTTGAGTCGCGTGGGAGGTTCTAGGACGAGTGGATTTGTGTTAGGGTTTTTTATTGTTAGAGTCACAGTATTTGACGTTACGAAGTTAGTTCCTTTATCGTCGACCGAGATGGTACATGAGTACGTATCTCGACTAGCAGTTTCTTTAGTTTAAGCATATTTTGTTTACAGATTTATATTTTCAAGTGATTTATTTCTATCTGCTCTTTACCTACCTGTAGGTAGGCAAATGTCTTACATAGTACAGTATTTGTAACATAAGTTACCTTAAATCTCCAAATCCACTATTGTAATATTTTAATTGGTCAACTACGTTTACAATGAAAGTTAAATTAAATTGTACAATATTCTCACTTTTTGTTCCCTACTAATCTTTATTTTTGTCGTAACTGTACTTTTTAAATATTAATGTCAATAAAGAAAATGATAAAACTTTTAAGGATTTTTTATTTACTTTCCTGCATTAATTCTCTATAATAATCATGATCGACGAACAAGATACATTTTTTTCTTTGGTACGCTTGTACTTTTCCTAGTGTCAAGTAATGGATCGATACGCGCTTATTACTTACTATGCAGTAACTGAATTACTATACTATTAAATTAAAATAATTATGTTTAAATTATTATAGGTAAGATTTATGTGTTATATAGATTGTCACAGAACACAATTACTCTGTACCGAGAGAAGAACGCCAACTTCATACTAAAAAAAGGAAACACGTGTACACTAAAAGCGCCGCGGTGGGCACCCATATGAAACTTTTAGCAGGAATTTCAAACCTTGTAATCTGTAACTTACTTTTTGTTGTTCTGATCACTGCGTACAATTGGTTTCGTTACCTTATATTCACAAAAGCAAGTAAAATCGTATTTTCAATTAACCGGTTCAGTGCGGGTGACACGCCAGGCGTGCCATCGATTACTTTTGTGTGTGGCGTATGACACGCGAGTCGTGTCTTTTTAAAAATCGTTATAACTCGCTCAAATTGCTTTTTTGGAAAATTTATCCAGAACAAAATATTCATTATTTTGCGAGTAGTTCATGCATGCAGCTTCGTTTCTGGATATTTTGAAAATTTGAAATTTTTAGGGGTTAACAACCTTTTATTTAACATGTACATGGTACTATTTTTACTTTGTGGGTTTTAAATCAAGTTATGGCAAAATTGTCTCATAAGTAACAAATAATAGCACTCATTGCGATCGCTCACAAATCAAGTTGTAAATAAATTTCTGGAAAACAAGTCTCCTGTTAAAAAAAAACAATGCGTTTGTCTTATTGTTTAATTTTGCTTAAAATGGTTGAACTGCCGTCTTATTACTATCATATGGCCGAATAGACCTACGAAGTACCATGTGCTCTTGTGATATGGTATAAAGTTTATTTTTGCTTGAAACAGTTCGAAACCGTTCATGCATAAAAAAGTTCGCTAATAAATAGTCTTTTGTCAATCCGCCGCCGTATAACGCCGGCGTTTTTTTCCTTTTCAAAACACTTGTTTTGCTATTCTTACTAATTAGGCGTTTTCAGATCGACTTTTCTTTTACATTTGTATAACATTAAATAATATTTAACATTTGTAAATATCAATGAATGATATAACTTTTTTTTTTTCAAATTAAGGTTCTTCATTGTTTAATATTTACAAGTGTTATTATTAGGTGAAAATTTAATTTAATAAAAACCAAGGTTTCCAGGGTGATTTAGCTATACCTACTTATATAAATGATTTTTTTATAACAAAAAATAGTATAAAAGGTTTGTAATCTCTTCATAAAAAAAAAGTCACTTTCTCTCAATTTCAAAGAAAACTCGTAAAATACACGTAGTTACCCACTAAAAACAAGTATCCTTCCATTTGTAACTTATGTTTGATGTCAAGCAACAGATGGTGGTAATGTCACTTTGTGAAATAATGTTGCCAGGTTCACTGTAATAGTGATGCGTTCAGTCAGTCAGTTACTAAGACTTACTTAGCCTAAGGGTATTAGTGTTCTGTGGTCAGTTAGTATGCGATGACTTGATGATTATGACTAAAATTAATTAATCTTGATTGACATTGTGAAACTTGTTGACGAATATTGTATCATTGAAATAAACAGAAAAAATATTGTTAGTAAGAATAATAATTTAATACTATTGTGACTCGAGGGGGCGCTCTGACTTTCGGAACGCACCCTGCGCTCGCCGTGTCGGTCGCCATTTTGCGTGTCATTTGTCTTGTCCTTCATTCGGCTTCTAACCACGGGCAGTAAACTTCATAGAGAAAATACTGGACATGGGAAACGTCATAGCAAGATGATATATGATAGCTAACATCGCCTCTCAAAATCCCTTCTAAGCATGGAGTATAGAGTATCTACTATATACTCCATGCTTCTGCAAGCTGTCGCGGCCATACTGTTTATCAAAGAGAATATAATTACTACGTTTACTGTTTATGTTTGTTTTGTTTTGTCATTGTCACTGAGCACTGAGTGATATTACCGATAAATTTTCGTGTGGTGGCGTTGATTTATTTCCGCCCTATCTTTGCATTTACTTGTATCAACCGACTGCCTTTTACTGTAGTGAAGGATCAACATTTACTATTGAAATGAAAATAGTAGTGGTGAGACTGGACTTATTCCACTAACATTAGTCTCATATGAAGGGGCTACATTCAGATCTGCTCTTAAACTACTGCAAGAGGAAACTAGATTAGTTTAAATACGAGAAAATAAAAACACTGGTAGGTACAATTAATCAAAACCTTACCGCCATGTTAATAGAATTGCCTTATTATATGTTTTATATTTTTAGATGACCTGATACATATAAGTGGTATTTATATGCTTGTCGTATTTGATCCACCACATTTAATCAAAGGAGTGCAAAACAATTTTTAACAAAAATGTACAATACCAAGAAAATATTTCTACATAGACAGATAAGAAAGACTATGAACATACAGAAACACGGTTATTACACAAACTTAACGACAAACATGTTATTCCTGGAAAAGAAAATTAAGGTATAAAATAAATGGGTAAGACTTTCCATTGATATCCGTCGAGTTGGGGGTTTTTTCCAGTTAGGTTACATTATTATAAGCACACACGCAAATTTCAATATTCGGAGACACGTACTTTTTGAGAAAAAAAAAATATTGAAAATCAACTATTTTTGCAATATTTATGTCAATTGCTACCGTAAAACTGACGCCATTTTGTATTGTCGTTGTCAGTAGGGATGTCGATTCTTTCCGAAAAAGTTCGATGTTTTTTAAATCGATTCGAATTGTAAGCTGATGTATCGATTCACAAAAAATCTATTTCTAAATATCTATATTTTTTATGTTTGCATTTACAATGTAAATATAAATCCATTTTATGAGAAAAAAATGGCTTAGCTTTCCATTGACGTCAGTCGAGTTTGGTGTTGATACGTATTTTTACAGAAAAGTTACACTATTATAAGCACACACACAAAGTTTCAACATGCGGAAACGCGTAATTTTTGAGAAAAGAATTATTGAAAATCAATTATTCTTGCAATGTTTGTCTAATCCTACCATAAAACTGGCGCCATTTTGTAATGTCATTGTCGACGTCAATAGGGATGTCGATTCTTTCCGAAAAAGGTCCATTTATAAATCGATTCAAATCGTAAGCTGATGTATCGGTTCACAAAAAGTCGATTTCTAAAATATCTATATTTTTTTAATGTTTCTATTTATACTGTAAATATAAACCCATTTTATGAAAAACAAGAAAGATACCATGATAAATGATCTCTTATTGAAATTTGTTTTATTTAACAGTACCTATTAGGGCAGATAACAAATAAAATAGGTTAGGTTCAACTTATGTCAAAGAACTGAATTGATCCTCCACCTGGTACGAGTCTGTCCTACCCCTAGAGTGGTTTTATAGAGCCGGAGGCGCGTAGGGGGAGCAGCCTCCGCCTGCTGTAACAAATCGTAGGCATCTCATCAATCCCCTTCATCATAAAAAAAATAGGGGGACTGATTCAGGATTTCTGTATCTGTTTTGAGACTGCTACGTCTCTGGCGCTGCGGGAAGAGCTGCTGCTCCCCCTACGCGCCTCCGGCTCTATAAAACCACTCTAGGGGTATGACAGACTCGTACCAGGTGGAGTCGGGGTCAATCAATTCGGTTCTTTGACATAACGTGAACTTAACCTATTTTATTTGTTACCTGCCCTAATAGGTACTGTTAAAATAAAACAAATTTCAATAAGAGATCTTATGGTATCTTTCTTGTTTTTCTTAAAATTAATTTATATTTACATTATAAATGCAAACATGAAAAAATATAGATATTTTAGAAATCGACTTTTTTGTGAATCGAAAGCTTACGATTCAAATCGATTTAAAAATCGATCTTTTTCGGAAAGAATCGACATCACTACTGACGAAGACAATTGCAATACAAAATAGCGTCAGTTTTAAGTTGTGTATCGCTAGCATCGCAAAGTCGGGAATTTGCATTTGGAAAAATCTAAAATTAGGAGCTTTTTAGGTGCTAATTAGGTGCCAAGTTTAAAAATTAGGTGCTCTAAAATTTTCACCGCAACGAATTGTTGAATTTTGCGTTGCTAGCAAAACGTCTTGCTAGCAACGCAGTGAAGTTATTAGATATACGATAAATATTAATAGCAAGGAATTAAGTGCTAATTAGGTGCTGCAAGTATACACAATAAAAAGGCGCCCCTAATAAAAATAAAGTCGTTATTCAGAAAATTATTTAGCAAAGCAAATGCGAAAATCAGGTCTTTGTGTTTGTACCATCTAGCGACTATCGTACTTACCACCTTGAGAGTCCATCGATTTTGATTCGATAAAATGACTAGAACTATAGAACGTTGTAGACAGCGCTATTTATTACAAAGCAATTTACTGGAAAGAAAATATCCTTTCGATTTAGTACACTAAAGTTTAGGCTTCACATGTCTAAAAATAAGAATTGTAACATTTATTTGGTTGAAAATTATATTAAATAATATTATAGATTATATTAAATCTGAAAAACAAAAAATGCCATTCATACTTTATAGTTAGGTAATGGTGGTTTTAAATCCGATAATTTCCAGAATATTACCGTCATCTACATGCGACCTCAATAATCTTTCAGTACCTAATTAGCACTTAATTTTTAGGCACTGATAAAGAACAAAAAATACCGTTCATACATTATGGTAAGGTAATGGTGGTCGTGGAACCCATAATTCACAGAATAATATCTTAATCTGTATCGAGTTTCGATAATCGCTCAGCACTTAATTAGCACTTAATTCCTTGCTATTAATATTTATCGCATGTTTAGTAACGTCATTGCGTTGTTAGTGACACCTTTTGCCTGCTACGCAAATTTCAATCCATCGTTGCGGTGAAAATTTTAGAGCACCTAATTTTTAAACATGGTACTTA